TCACTGTTGTACCAGCCGACGAATGAGCGCGCAGACAGGACACCATCGAGGCCCGTCCCGGGCAGCTCGAGCGCTGCTTCGCCGCGTGCCCCGCACGCGACGACGACGCTGTCAAAGGACGCGCGTAGAGTGGCGAGCGACACAACGTGCGGTCCTCCCAACGCCTGCCGAGGCCCGAAGCCGCCCTCTGAGACGTCCGCGTTGGAGCCGACGACCAAGTTTCCCACGAAAGAGAACTTCGGCGACGATGCCACCGATTCAAAGTCTCGGGCGACGCTCTTCACCTCCGGGTGATCTGGAGCGACGCCGGATCGCACCAGTCCGAACGGCGTCGGCCATCGGTCCACCATCACCACCTCCACATCCGGCCGCGCTTTCATCAGGAATTTGGCACTGTAAAACCCGCCAGGACCGGACCCGATGATACACACGCGCGGCGCATGCCTTACGGGGGCGGATGTGACATACGATCGTAGAGAGCGCGCACCGAGGCGACGCATAGCCCGGGTCCTGCGGGACCGCGCGGTCGGGGTGACGCGGGCCGGGAGCCGGGAGCGCGACGGTGTCGGCGGCGGGACCTCGTGGAGCGCGGCGCGCGGTCGGGGGTGAGGGTGCCGCGGGCCGAGCGCGACGGTGTCGGCGGCGACTGTAACACCGAAACATCGAGCTGGCAGACTGAGGGGTAAGCCTGACTGCGCAAACATCCCCATCCACAGGGACTACCGTACCCGACTCTACGGTGACCACATCGCCTAGAGCACTAGAGCATTAAAGGAGAGCATCGTGACGCACTCACTTAGCTCATCCGAGGACGCCGGTCCCCCCTCACAAAGGTTAATCTAGGACAGCTCGCGTCGGCGAAACGGCGCCACGGGGCGCGCGAGCATGCCCCCAAGCGCCAAAGCAACAGCAGCCATTGAAATTAAAAATAACATGAAGCCACGATGAAGGCCAACGGTTGTCAGCCGCGAGTTCAGCCGTCCTGCACAACGCTTCTGCTCGTGCATCGATGCAGCGATGCTAAGATTTGGCGCTGCGCTCGATCTGTGGACCGTGCCGCGCCTCGGGGCCCGCAGCGAATCGCTCGGGAAACGCCATCGGTCGAAGGCGACCAACTTAGCTCGCGTCGGGGCAGCCCATGGATGATGAGAACGGCCATTGACGGTGAACGGCGGTCGATGGGGGGCCAACCTCGTACCAGGGGTCGAGCTGGCAGCGAGAGTGGGAGGTGACATCCCCTCGATTGTCCTTCTCGACTGGCCCGGCAAGGACTGCGCTGCCAGCTCGGAACATGCGTTCCGCGGTCAGCGCCGTGGCATTCGCGACGCTCGCGCCTCTCGGAGTCGATGAGGTGATCTCGATCAAATCGACTCGAGCCGGAAAGCTGCCGCGAACGCATCTGATCGCCCTCATGACGAACGATTCCCGACGCTCTGTGGCTCGAATTTGACTCAAAATCGGGTCAGGGGAAGCTGCCGCGCCTCGTCCCACCCCCTGAAGCGGTCCGTTTGCATCGCCTCACAATCGTCCGGATGTCGCGTCTTCGCATGTGCCTCGTCCATATGTTTGCGGACCTCAAAGCTGCTGGGATCGTTGCACATCGCTGCATATTCGCGGAGCGCGGGATGTCCAACCAGTTGACGAAGCATCGGCAGCTGACGAATGCGCTCGGATAGCTTCACGTTGTCGTCATGTTATTTTTAATTTCAATGGCCACCATTGCTCTGGCGTCCGTGATTTTTCTCGCCGGCCTGGGGCGCCGCGCGCCGCCGTCAGACACCTCAGAAATAAAAAGTTACGTCCGTCAGTACTCCCGGAATCCGAGATAACATACGGGGTACGTCCGAGCTACTTATATGCACTAGAGGACGTGGCTAGGGGGGGGGGGGGGGGGGGGTCATTAAACTTACCCCCCTAAATTTAACTCAACTTTTTGTGCCCCGCT